TAAAGTCCATTGCCTTTAAAAATCTCATATAAACTTTAAATGATTAAAGTGACATTAAACCCTCAGATTTTTTAACATAATCCAATACTGTAATGTGTGCCTTACTGTAATCCATGGATGTTTCCCTTCTCTTTGCTGCTCTTCCTTTTAAATCTGTATCTCTTCTCATGCTGGGCAGAACTTCCCTTTGCAGCTGGGTGCCTCTTCCTGTAGTACTGGCTCAGGTTGCAAACCTACACACAGACACCATGTATCCATTTCAGAGACAAGCCAGTCTGCTGCAAAACAGAAGTTCTGCCCAGCATGAGAACAGATACAGATTTAAAAGGAAGAGCAGCAAAGAGAAGGGAAACTACCATGGATTACAGTAAGGCACACATTACAGTATTGTTTTATGTTAAAAAATCTGAGGGTTTAATGTCACTTTAAGTAACAAAAACGTTCATGGCAATACCTAACATGTGTGGTGCAATTACTGTTTACATACACGGGTACACCCAGTGCATGTGTTTGCATGGGGCGACAGAGTTGCTTCCAAAAATGTTTTCTGGGTTAGCTTTATTTATTTAACCCCTTCGTGACAGGAGTGTACACTGTACGTCCCACCACAAAGTGCCTAAATGATTGGCCGCGTACACTGTACGTGACCAGTTATTTGCGGCGCTGTAATGCTGGTGACCGCTGATTCTCAGCAGTTACCATTCATTAATGAATGCCTCAGTATTGAAGCATTCATTAATGAAATAGTTAAGCTTTTATAAAAGCTTATTTCTTTCATTAAGGAAAGAATGAAGCCGTTACATACAAATGCCGGATCGCTAAATAGCGATCCGGTATTTGACAGCTAAAGATAGCAGAGAGGTAGCAGAGTGTGTCACCTCTCTGCTATTCGTTTTGACAGCTCAATAGACTGGCCCGATGTCTATGAAGCTGTGTGATACATTTCAGGCACAATCTTACAATGTATCTCTATGCCTGAAATATATCACTTCTGATTGTCTAGGCACGATCAGAAACATTTAGTGAGATCTGATTCTGACATTCTGTCAGGATCAGTCTCTAAGGTTATTATTAGCTGTTCCTAAGTTTGGAGCAGTTTGTGAGCTTGTGTTAACCACTTAAAGTCCATTGCCTTTAAAAATCTCATATAAACTTTAAATGATTAAAGTGACATTAAACCCTCAGATTTTTTAACATAATCCAATACTGTAATGTGTGCCTTACTGTAATCCATGGATGTTTCCCTTCTCTTTGCTGCTCTTCCTTTTAAATCTGTATCTCTTCTCATGCTGGGCAGAACTTCCCTTTGCAGCTGGGTGCCTCTTCCTGTAGTACTGGCTCAGGTTGCAAACCTACACACAGACACCATGTATCCATTTCAGAGACAAGCCAGTCTGCTGCAAAACAGAAGTTCTGCCCAGCATGAGAACAGATACAGATTTAAAAGGAAGAGCAGCAAAGAGAAGGGAAACTACCATGGATTACAGTAAGGCACACATTACAGTATTGTTTTATGTTAAAAAATCTGAGGGTTTAATGTCACTTTAAGTAACAATTTTGTCTAATAAATAAAACATATATGTGTATCTAAAAATAAATAAATATCAGTCAGCGATTGATTCAACATCAGTGAATTGTCTTCTTTAGTATTATGCTCCCTTTCTAACCCTTTGCCTATTACTGACAGTCAAAGAAATGTTAAATCAGTAGCGATTTTACTCCTGTGACTCGAGGCCTGTTTTAATGGAAGTCAAAAGAAGAAAGCAACATAACACCAAAAATTAAAACTTCTTCAACTTGAGTGAGTGACATTTTTTAATTATTTTAAATACCTCCCATAAGAGTGATAAGCATAAAATACAAATAATACAAAATAATTCAATTAAAATGTGCATGGTAATTAATTTACCAAACTGTGAAAGATTTTCACCAGCTTTAAAGTGACACTAAACTCAGGAGTTACATTTTAAAAAATACATTCAAGCACCCTATTAACAAAAATGTAACTTATTTGTGCATCACTTAGCTGCAGATCCTTAATCTGAATTTGTGGTGACACAAATTCAGCCTAATAATAACCAAAGATTTAAAAAGTCAATTTATCAAGCAGTTTATCAAGTGACTGGTTGATATAAACTGACAAAAAAAAATAAAGTGTAAAAAAATAAAAAAAGTAAACAAAATAAAATAAAGTGTAAAAAAATGAAATAAAGTGTAAAAAAAATCAGAAAATAAAAATTATATGCAAATATATTTGTTATACTGTAATTATTATAAAAGAAATTCCTAAAAATAATAATTTTCTTTACGTTTTTTTTATTTTTATATTTTATTTAAACTAAGTGAGGCGTTAGGTACACATGTTTGATATAATTATATAGCCCTATCTGTCCTCTAAAAAACAATATATAATATGGAGGATGACTACTTTTGTTCATCATGGTTCCTTTGTGTGTTGTAAAGTAGCCACCTCTCCAAGCTCACTCCCATGATAGACTACAATCTCAATACAAATTAGTAAACTAAACATGAGATTGTAGTCCATCACGGGAGCAAGCTTGGAGCGGTGGCTACTTTACAACACACACAGGGACCATGGGGAACACAGGTCTCCACCCTCCAGAAGGAAGGACAGTGTCAGCACCAATTCAGAGATGATTTGAGGATCTACAGCCGAGTGATACACAAATAAGATACATTTTTCTTAATAGTTAAGGTGCTTGAATTTATTTTTAAGAATTAACTCCTGAGTTTAGTGTCACTTCAATATTTCAGTTAAAAACTTAATTGTTCAGCTGAAAGTTTTATTTCATTTTTACTGGACTGGAGTCCATGCAAAAATTGGTTTGCTAGCCAACCATAAATAATGCAGTCTTTTGAAGTATTTCCCCAGGTCTAAATGATTTCCATACTATCTACATTTTCCAACTTACTTGATGTGGATATTTGCATTTCATACCCAGTGCCCACCATAAATTGCTGTGAATGTTCCACTGTTAGCACTGAGTTGGCAGCGGTAAGGTATTGAGTTTTTGTTAGGGCTCTGTACAAAAAGGACAAAGGGGAGCAAATTTAAAGTAACTACAAGCACCAGAGTGTGTCTGCTATCCAGCAAACCTATATCTTTGCCCTAAATAAGTGTAGGTTCACTCAAAGTCCCCAACACTTATACAATAGCAATACAAGAATAAAAATGCAAATATTTGCTTATAGTTATATGAATAGAATATTTAATATTTTTTCTACACTGGTAAGCTTACTCAACTGGGCAAACAGTAGAGTGTAGTAACTCACGGTAACCAATCAGAATTCATGTTTCACTGATCTGACTATAGTAGATTAAAATATGATTGTTTGATAAGGGTTAGTGCACTTCTGTAAACATCACTGCTGTTTTTATTAAAATTCTATGAAACTTTCTTGAGGCTTGCTCATAGCTATGATATTTTTCGCTAAAACATACATACACTATGTTGCCAAAAGTATTGGGACACCCCTCCAAATCATTGGATTCAGGTGTTCCGTGAAATTTCCTTGCTACTAAATAATCCACGGTCAACTGTTAGTGGTATTATAACAAAGTGGAAACAACTGGGAACAACAGCAACTCAGCCATGAAGTGGTAGGCATCGTAAAATGACAGAACGGGGGTCAGTGCATGCTGAAGAGCACAGTGCGCAGAAGCCAACCAACTGTCTGCAGAGTCAAAAGCTACAGACTGCCAAACTTCGTGTGGCCTTCAGACTGGCACAACAGTGTGAAGGGAGCTTCATGGAATGGGTTTCCATGGCTGAGCAGCTGCATACAAGCCTTACTTCACCAAGTGCAATGCAAAGCGTTGGATGCAGTGGTGTAAAGCACACCGCCACTGGACTCTAGAGAAGTGAAGATGTGTTCTCTGGAGTGACGAATCACGCTTCTCTGTCTGGCAATCCCATGGACGTGTCTGGGTTTGGCGGCTGCCAGGAGAACGGTACTTGCTTGACTGCATTGTGCCAAGTGTAAGTTTGTCGGAAGGGGGATTATGGTGTGGGGTTGTTTTTCAGGGATTGGGCTTGGCCCCTTAGTTCCAGTGAAGGGAACTATTAAGGCATCAGCATACCAAAGACATTTTGGACAATTTCATGCTCCCGAATTTGTGGGAACAGTTTGGGGATGGCCCCTTCCTGTTCCAACATGACTGCACACCAGTGCACAAAGCAAGGTCCGTAAAGACATGGATGAGCAGATTTGGTGTGGAGGAACTTGACTGGCCTGTATGGAGTCCTGACCTCAACCCGATAGAACACCTTTGGGATGAATTAGAGCGGAGACTGCGATCCAGGCCTTCTCGCCCAACATCAGTACCTGACCTCACAAATGTGCTTCTGGAAGAATGGTCAAACATTCCCATAGACACACTCCTAAACCTTGTGGAGGGCCTTCCCAGAAGAGTTGAAGCTGGTATAGCTGCAAAGGGTGGGCAAACTCAATGTTGAACCCTACAGACTAAGACTGGGATGCCATTAAAGTTCATGTGCGTGGAAAGGAAGGTGTCCCAATACTTTTTGCAATATAGTGTATATGTTCTACATATATAAAAAATGTTCACACATATTCCCCATTTCAGACATACAGGAGCATGCGAACACCAACAGGAGCATTATTTTCAAATGCTCTTATAGAATGCAGCATTAAGCAGAAAAAGTCACTTCAAATCCAACCACACATCTAGCCTGTGGTGTTTTATGTGGTTCCAGAATTCTCTGACTTCTAATATGCTCATAAACTAAATTATATTTAATTATATTTATTCTGCGAAAAATATTAATATTCCTTTCTCCATTTTTATTTATGTTACAATGAAACCTATTTTGGCAATGGAGCTAATGGTCAAATGAGAGTTTTAAGAATTGGAGAATTAAGCTTCAGGTATCTATTAGTTTACATAGATACCTCTACAGCTGTATTTTGGTGTGTGTTGTAAAGAGCTGAATTTACCAGTAAAATATCACACTTACCCTTTCTTCCTCTTCTCTAAAGTCTGGCATGGTGCTGATACAGAGGCTAACGGCTGTGATGGCCACAAAGGAGACCGATAAACAGGCAAAAATCTTCCCAGGAATCCCTGAGTGGGGGTTCTCAACCATGTCCCTGAGATGTTTCATGCACTGGGCCAATCGCCCACTGTCCTCCAAGGCACTTTGTGAATTTTCCTTGGAGGTGCCAAATTCTCCCTCATACATCTTGGCCTCAGCCAGTTCCTCTTCCTTCTGCTGCAGTTTTCTAAGGCAGCACCACTCCAGTTGTTCCTCCTCTATCCCCCAATATATAAGTTCTTCCTGGAAGGATAGGGCACACATTTCTCTTAGTATCCTCAGTTTCCCAGCTGCCAAAAAAGTCATAATAGTCCTAAAGGCACAAGGGTTACGATCGAAAAAGAACTCATTGCAGTTAATGTCATAATCATCACATACATCCATTATTTCATCATAATTATTACAGGTTCTTAGTTTTCCCAGCCTTGTCAATGGACAGTCTTCCAGAGTGGTCCATGGGATTCGGTACTTGATGCCACCTACGTTGATAATTATATGTCGCATTCTGTCTTCCACTTGCCCCCTGTAACATCGCTCCTCACCTGGACGAAGGAGCTTAGCTGTTTTATAGAAGACCCCCTTCCTGGTCTGCACCTCACATAGGTTTTCTATATTTTTGATTCTGAAGGAGGTAAAGTCGGCCTCTGCTTTGCCTGCCAATAATGCCATTTCCTGATACATTAGTTTTCTTCATTGAGGCAACCACTATTTCTAGAGAAAAACAGAGTGCAAAACAGCTGCCGATCTGAAAAAGAAGAAAATGTATGTTAGTTGGCACGGTTTATGGGACCAAAGTACAGCAAAATAAATATGAATGTGTTCCAGATATAGTATCTCTATAATCAATTAACTTCAACTGCTGTTCAGCCTTGCATGTACTAGAGAAAGCTGCTTTTGGTGACTGTATGAAGAAATTATTAAGATTCATGATTTATTGCCTTCTTTCCCTCTGCACACCACAGGGTAAATGAGAAGAAAAAAAGCATACTCAGCAGGGAGTCTGCTTAACAAATTCAATACAAGGTCACTGTATGTTTTATGGCAAGGCCAGTTTTTATGTTATTGTAATATGCTTGGTAAACCAAAGTCTTACTTTATTTGTTGTATATTAAAGTAAACCTATTTTGGAAAGCAAAATTGCACTGAATTGCATATCTTACCTCCTAATGTAAAATAAATCCCCTACTAGTGCTGAAGCCCAGAGAACATTCTATACAAATAATGACATTCTGAAAGTTGGTATTTCTATAGTCCAAGACAAGCCCCAACATATGGTGATAGGTTGGTCAGGCCCCAAGTTCACCTTAAAGTCCATTTCTGCCTTTGTAAGTGATTCACATTTATTGTGGTAATGTAGAGGTGCAGTGATGATTTATACATATGCACATTTTCATGACACATTGCAGGCTTTTTTCATTTTTTTATGAAGTTTGTATTAGGCCTTAAGCCCAGAAATTCAACATTTTCTCCACAAGAAACTTAGTCTGATGTCAGATTAAAGTAGACTCTAAACAGCTCTCCCCCTGCCTGTTATTCATTGTAACATGATCAGTAAACAGGAGCTCTGCCTTTGCACACAATGCACTGTTTGGGGAATAGGGGATGAAGAGGTTATTTATACACAGGGCGGGCCTTTGGGGTGTGCAAGCTATGCAGCTGCACAGGGTGCCATGGCAACAGTGGTGGCAGGTGGCGTACACAGTTTGCTATCACACAAGCTGCAGGCAGGGCAGCTTGTGTCATAGTGACATGGCCTCGCCTTGGAGAGGCAGGGAGTAGAAGGGCGGCACAGCCTGGAGCTTCTTCTTGGATCCCTGCTGCTCTCCCCCGCCTGTATAGGCTGAAGCAGCGGGGATCAGAGGAGAAATACACTGCTGAAGCTGGCGGTGGGGGGTGGGCAGAGGAGGAAGCACTTGCTGTCAGGGTGGCAGAGTGGGGGTGTGAGTAGAGCCGACAGCTGGCAGGATGACTGAGCGGGGAGGAGAGAGGAGAAGCCGTTGTCATTCTGTCAGTTTCAGGATGACAGTGGCTGTGTTTCTTGGCCGAGCAGAGGATCTGTAAATATGTGTAATATTTACCAAATCCTCTGTGTGCAGAGCAAACACTGGAGTGATTGCTGATCACTCCAATGTTTGTAAACAACTGGGGACACATAGTACTATGTGTCTCCAGTTATGAATGAACAGGAAGTGTTTTGCATCACTTCCTGTTCATTTATGAGTTTCTGAATGGGTAGAAGCAGCTCAGTGCAGAGGCTTCTATACATTCCACTGTTTGATAGTAAATATTTACTATCTCCAGTTTGTGAATGTACAGGAAGCCTCTGTAGTGAATGCTTTCAATTCATTCAGTGCTGAGGCTGCAGAAAAAAAGGTTGACTCTGTGTCCTCAATGTCTTTTTCTATTTAAAAAAGAAAATGCCCCCCTGCTCCCACAGTAAAAAAATAAATAAATAAAAAACAATCATAAAAGAAACACTCCCCCCCACACACACACAGATACACATTGTACACATGCAACAGTGTGCACCATGCACTTTGTTTTAGTAAACAGTATGCACTACTTAACATGTAGTCTAGTTTTTGTGGGTTTTTTTGTGTTTTTACTTTTCTAGATGCACTTACTTGAGAAAAGGGTCTACATGACATCCTGACACTATTTTTATAGACTTTAGTTTGACACTTGTTGTTATCACTTGTTTGCCTACTGATGTTTTTATTTAATAAGAATACGTATTTTGTGTTTACAAGTTTAATACCTTTGAATAAAAGTTTTATTTTTATCATACTTTTTAATCTGTTTCATTGGGGTTTAACAAAATGGGAGGCTTTAAATGGTGTGGGTATTGGAGAGATGGGTGTGACCACTAAGGGGTGTGGTTACTGAGGGGCACTGTAAAGCTTTCTCACGCAGGGCACCTAATGACCTAAGGCTGACCATGACTATACACACATTACTTGCAAAGCACTATTGCAGCCATTTCCATAAGGACATAAAGAGGAAAGCAAACAAAAATTGTATGTTTTTGTATTGGTATACGGCAACTGCATATGCCTGCTTCATGTACACTTGGTATACATTGCTGGCATATTTTTTTTTTTTAAATACCTCAGCAAAGGTGGAATTGGGCTTTAAGGAAATGGTGGGAGAGGCATGTATTTTCTCCCCATACTTGCAAATGCCGCTATTTGGATATGCAACAGCATCGCTGATGGGGGATATTCCTTACAAGAGAGGAGTTTTCTCAGCACAGTTTTTATTCCTGCTGGGAAAATGCTGAAGTCAAGTTTCCTTTTTTCACGTGGGGATTCTACTTCCAATAACAATTTGTCTTCCTTTATTCTGCCTTACCCCCCATTAATCTCAATCTCCCCACCTCTATTCAGTCCTATGGTATAATAGTCACAATATTCTGAACCCTGTCCAGCATCCTCATTCTCCCAGCATTCCTGCACACAAACCCCAGTGCCAGGGCTCCTAAGAAGAAAATGACGAGCTGCGGTGCAAGTGACAAGGGAGCATGGAGCCGGCTTCCCAGCCAATCAGGAAGCCGGGCAGCGTGTAATGATGCGCTGCCTACCTACTGTCTGCTGTGAGCCCCACATAGTGCCCTTGGCCTCCAACAGTGTCCCCAGTCTCCAAACCAATTTTCCCCCTCCCTTGTTTTCACCACGGACATATTACAACAGCAACTCCACCTCCTCCTCTTTTAGAGTCAAACCTGCCAATGCTCCAAAATGTACTCCTTCTCACCATCACACCTGCCATCACCCACTACTCCCCATTATAACCTCCTTGCCACCCCCTTTTTCCCTCCAAGCCTAAATCTGCTGTTCAGTATTTGATCTTTGCCACACATTGTTCTACAGCAGGAGCACTTTTTATCTCTTGCACAGATTAATCAGCGGTAGATAAAGTCTAAAATATCCTAATTCAATTATATAACTGCCATAACTTACACACTTGTAATGTGTGTAAATAATATGAAATGTATATAAAATTACCATGAAGAACAAAACTACCGTTGCCGGTTGTCAAGAATGATCAACTTTGATTTAAACTATATTTTTCTGAGGAGAACATAGCTCGGTCAGAGGTTACCACATGCCTGCTCCTCATATAGCATGTCACTAGCGCCTTATCTAGTGGTTGCACTTTGCTTTTCTTTTGTTCTTTTTGATGATTAAATACAAATGCAAACATAATTTTTGATGGGAAAACCTTGAAGCGTATAGTCTGCTCTGTAACATAACTGTTCTCAGCTCAGCTTAGCATTAAGTAAATAAATATATATATATATATATATATATTTATAAATAAATATATATATATTTATTAATACACATATATGATAATCAGAAAATTAAATTATATAAGATATGAAGTGTTATATCTAAATAAAATGAAAGTGACTCAATGAATCAATTAAACCCATAATCAACAAAATCATAGCAAATCATAGAAATATATATTCGCTATAATGCCAAGGATGTAGCCGAACGTTTGGCTAATCCTTCGGCTCACTTCGGCTCCAACAACCCTTCGGTTCAGGCGAACCGAAGAGCTGCTGTATGCACAATTCTCGATAATGCGTACAGCAGCCGAGCCGAACGCATATGCTTGGGCTCGGCTAAGCCGAACACACAGCCGGAGCTGGGAGAATCCCCGCTAGTTCTTAAAAATTAGAAGAAAAAAAAACCAGCATGTGGTTCCCCTTCCCAATTCAGACCCTTTAGATCTGTGCTTTGCACTTCTGCTACCTGAAAAATGCAACTTGCTTTCAATTGCATTCCACATTATTATTATTATACAGGATTTACATAGCGCCAACAGTTTGCGCAGCGCTTTACAATATAAGGAAGACATTACAATCACAATACACTTCAAGACAAGATGGTAAGGAGGGGCATGCCCTTGAGGGCTTACAATCTAAAAGGGAGGGGGAAGTGATACATAAGGAGGTAGCTGTTTGTGGATGAGTTGTTTGAGAACATGATGGTTGAGGTGCATGCATTTCAGATCAGTTTGCATTGATTTTGAGATCGTTTAGAGCAGTATTTCTCAACTTTTTATCAGTCAAAGCACCCTTTAAAAGTTTGAAAAATCTCAAGACACCTCAGTCTAAAATGTAATTAATTTTAAGGGGGAACCCCACAGGGGTTTACCCCCTTCACATCAGAGTCCTCAGTCCCCTCTTCACAACAGAGTGCTACGTCCCTCTTCCTTTTAGAGTCCTACTAAAAAGGCAGACTAGTTGAGGAAGGCTGGTTTAGAGCACAATGACAGGTGCCATAAATCTGCATTTGACCTTCTTCTGACCTGCAGTTGCATTACTCCTAGGTTGCATCAACCTGCTTCCAGTTGCTTCTGCATCTCCATTGACTTCTTTGGAGAGAAAAGCAGCTCTGACACAAGCCCTTCAGCACAATGCTTCCAGGTTAATGGTCTCCATGTTTGACAAGTCCTTCTTATCAGCAAAACAGGTACGACCACAACAGGAACAAATACACAGAATAGGACGGGTTTGATTTAATATATCAAATGAGGCTACCATTGCTGAACTACTCCATATAATGCCACTTGCCTGGCTGTGCCTGGCCTCTATATTTCTGGAACAAACATGCAGCAAATGAAAGCTAGGCAAAAGTCAGAATTGCTTAGCTCACACCATTGTATCAGAATGAAAGCCAGAAAACTTGCATTTTGAAAGGAGAGATCA